TATATATTTAACAGTGCAAAAACTTTTGTTTCAGGGTCTAAGCGATCCAGATAATTATCATGAATTTTGTCGATTGCTAGCACGTTTGAAGTCCAATTACCAACTTGGAGAGCTCATAGCCGTTCCTTGTTACCCCGAAGCCATAGAATTGATAGCAAAGTTTACCGTACAATCATTACATGTGAGTATATTTTTGGTAGTAAGTTTTTAAAAATGGACATTGTTAATGTTCACAGATGTGGCTCTTTGCTCCAAATAGTGTGCACTATTTACTTACCTTATGGCAGCGTATGGTCGCATCAGTACCGTATGTGAAATCGCCGGATCCGCACTTACTTGGCACGTACACACCTGAAGTTATTAAGGCGTATATAGAGTCTCGTCTAGATGCTGTGACGTTGATTGTACGTGATAATATGGAGGATCCATTAGACGATCTTTGTATGGTGCAACAACAACTTGAGCAGTTATCGGTAATCGAGCGCTGCGAATATAATAAGACTTGCAATCTTCTCGTTCAGCATTTTGACCAAAAGGCCCGAGAATACGAAAATCTCTTACAGACACATAATTCAAGCCCCATAGATATTACTGTTCATGAGTTACAGCTGACATGGTTGGTTTACATAATTGGTTCGGCTATTGTTGGAAGACTTACTGTTACTACCAGTGATGAGCACGATAATATGGATGCAGAGCTTGTTATTCGTGTATTGCAGCTAATGAGTTTAACTGACTCACGTCTACCTCAAACTGGTTGCGAAAAGCTAGAACTCGCCATTTTAAGCTTTTTAGACCAGGTTCGTAAAATGCATAGCAGTGATCAGGCTCAAAAGGCAACTGTTTATAAACGACTCAACGAAGTCTTTGGACTAAATGATGAGCAAATGTTGCTTAGTTTTATTAACCGCAAAATGTATGTATTTTTTGTTAATTTGGTAATAGCTAATAACTTTTAACCCTTCCAGTATTACAAATCTTAAATTTTGGGGCCGGTCTGAGCAAATAATTACAAAAACTTTAGTCTTATTATCCGATCTCTCTGTGCATTTTAATTCAGTGAGAAAATTAGCTCGTCTAGAAGAAGTACAGTTTATGTTAACACATCACACAAGCGAACACTTTCCTTTTCTTGGTACGAGCTCTTCCCTGAACGAAATGCGTTGCCGTACAATGTTTTATACTTCTCTAAGTAGGTTGTTAATGTTTGATTTAGGAGAAGATGAAGAACGTTTCTATAATTTTCTTACTCCGCTTACAAGTAAGTCGATTTTTGAATTATTATTCATTATCAAGAATATAATAAATTATTCAATTTTACAGATCAGTTTGAATCACTTGGAAATGTGTTAATGGATACAAAATGCTTTCCTAATGAAGAGGTCAAAAAGGCAATTATTGGGTTAGCTCGGGACTTACGGGGCCTAGCATTACCGCTTAATGCTCGCATTCAATATACAATGCTTTTTGAATGGCTGTATGTGTATTCATTATATATTTTCATTTCAATCTATTTATATATTTTTGTCTGTAGTTATTATACGGATTACTTACCTATACTGCTTCGTGCAGTTGAATTGTGGGCTCATGAACCTGCCATTACTACGCCTGTGTTAAAGCTATTTGCTGAATTAGTGCATTGTCGAACCCAGCGTCTAGCAGGAAATGTGTCTAGCCCTATGGGAATTTTACTTTTTCGTGAGGCTTCAAAACTTATTTGCATATATGGCAATCGTATTTTACACCTAGAAGTAACAACTGATCAACTTTACCCGATGAAATTGAAGGGGATATCAATATGCTTCTTAATCTTAAAAAATGCGCTTGGAGGGAACTATGTGAACTGTGGCGTGTTTAAATTATACGGTGATGATACATTACATAACGTACTTGATATCATTGCCCAACTTATTCTCTCTATACGACAAAGTGATTTATTGGTAAGAATTATAACCACAAAAACATAAAGAAATGAAAATAAAGTAAACTAAAAATTATTAGGAGTATCCAAAATTGGCATCGGCATATTACAATTTGTTAAATTGTTTGTCTCAAGATCATGTAACGTACCTTACCGCTTTGGAACCACGAGCATTTGTATATATATTGGAGAGTTTGAACAAGGGCCTTGCAGCGTTAGGTACTCATAATTAGTTTTTACATTTACAATTATTATTAATTTAATTTATATTTTTAATCTTTCAGATTCGGCAATTTACATAAGCTGCTGTACAATTTTGGACAGTATTGTTTCGTACATATTTAAACAGCTACAATTAAAAAGTAAAGATAAATATAAATGTGAATAWATATGTCTTCAGTGTTATTTAACCAAATTTATGTTGCAGCTTCAACATTCCCAAATAAAAAGCTACGAAGTTTGTCACGAGAAAACAGTCAATTTCTTAAGGTATGTATTTTTATACTCTAAATCCATTGAAACTCATCCGATTTATTTTTATCGAGAATAATCGATACACTGATTTCGTCTTTAAGCCTAATTTGAATACTATAAAACCTAGATCAGACTTACTGTGTATATCTGTTTGATGAATACGAAGATTTGGTAATTCACCCAACTCGCCTCCAAGTTGAAGAAAGAGTATTTCCAGTACTAGAGACTTGTGCTTTAAAATATTTGAAGATTTTAATCACTAAAAAAAAACATTATTCAACAAATAAACTCTCATAATATTGCCCATACCGCAGTGCAAGTGCAGCCGCTGTTAACTGCGTTTGTTTTAAGAAACTCGTTAAATTATTCCAATTTAATATTATCGAATAACCTTATAAAAATTCATTTAAAAAATTATATACTCTAAATCTTTAAAGCAGTTAAAGCAGATTATGGTAGTTATTTTATAGAATTTTGTTGCTTATATCCAGTAGCTATTGAAAATGGGAAATCTGGCTATATTGGTTTGATAATATATCTGTAGTGAGGGCTCTGGAGGTCAACATTCAGAGGCCATGAGTCTCGTAATGGAGCAGACCTCAACTTTATTGAAA